TTCCCACGAGATGAATCACCTTGAATAATTTTGTCATGTTACAGAAAATAATCCTGACAGGATTTTCATTGTGATCACAGAGATTTTGCAGATTAATTTGAAGGGCATATCACATATTTCCAGGATAGAGAAGGTATGAGAGAAAGATAAACATCCAGGATGACTCCCCAATTCTGGGCTTGGAGATCAAGTGGATTTGGGGCCTTGAAAGTGGAGCGGAGGGGTGCAATGCCTGCCTACCACTGAGCAGGAGGACACTCAGGCTTGGAGGAATGATGAGGAGTTCAATTTAGACATCCTGAACTGGAGATGTCCTTGGGAAGTCTGCAGAGATAAGCCCTGGATGTAGAGGCCTTCCTTAATGGCCTCCCTCATTCATTCTGGAGTGAGTTCATCCTCCACACAGGTACCAGAATGATCCAAGGTCTCCCCTGTGGAATGAAAACAGCTTGCAGGGCTCTGTGTGCTCTGGTCCTGTCCATCCCTGTACTCTTTCTCCGGTCTCACCTCCTTTTGCTCACTGGGCCCACTCACTCGCCTCTTTTCCATTCCTCCTAGCATTTGTACTTGCTGTTCCCTCTACTTGGAACATCCTTGACCACACACTAGGGAGAGCAACACTATGTGCTTCTTCAGAACCCCATGTCCACTTCCAGATGTCCTGACTTGTTAGGGTCAAAGTCAAGTGAGACATAGTGCCTTGTCCACAGTCCTGGCCTGGGGACCTCCGGGGACCTGAGTCTGCTCTAATGGAAGAAGGAGTTTCTGGAGTCTCATTTACCTCCGTGGAGACGTCTCGCATTTTCCCTGGGGTTGCATTCAAAGTTGGGTCGACAGTGATGGGATAGAGTATGGAGAAAGCACCTCCCCCATAATGATTGTGGTTCTTTTTTCATCCTCTTATGAAGTCTTCGGGCACCTCCCTACAAGCTCTGAGGAGCCACTGGCAGATGAGTGCCTTTTTCCTCACAACTCTCTCAGGGAAGGGCTTTGAGAGGCTGGGGATCCTATGAGGGAATCCAGTCAAGGCTGCTGTCTGAAGTAGGATGAGGGTGAACCCTCTTCATGTGAGACATCCAGCAGCCTCCAAGCCCTTGCACTCTTTTTTCAAGGGGCCTAGAGGGGCTCAGCCCAGTGTGCAACCCCGTTGAACAACATTTCTTTGGGGGCTGAAATTTAGGGTTCTGCCCAGGTGCACCACGCTCTTTTTGATCAGGCTGAGATGCTGAGGTGCTGAGATGCAGGTTCATAGACCTGGTTGTCTGCTCAGGAAAATAAACTGGAAGATAAGGAGAGGGTAAAGAAAGTAATGGAAACAGGAGGAGAGAATGACTTTCAGAGCAGGAGAGAGGACCAGGCTGCAGGCCAGAGGGGAAGAAGGGTCCCAGGGGACTGTGGGATTCCAGGAGCCAAGGGCAGCGTTTTTCTGGAAGGAGGGAGAGTCTAGTGCTGCTGAAGGGGCAAATCCACTGAGGACTGAAATCTTTATGGCAGGAAGAATTTGGTATTTTGACCAGCGTGCCAGTGTACCAGTGTATTTGGAAGAAGGAGAGGGGACTGGAGCCAGATCACTTAGGTGGAAGAGTGAGTGGGAGGGGAGGGTGGCAGGAGCTAAAGCTGCAGCTGGATGGGCTGTGGTGTTGAGTGGCTTTAAAAAAATATTGTTCAATTATAGTTGTCCCCATTCCACCCCATTACTCTCCCCTGCCTTGCCCACCCCCCACATTCAATCCTCCCCACATTGTCCTTGTCCATGTATCCTTTATACATGTTTAACATGGCCCAGTTGAAAGTTCTGGAGAAGAATCCAGCAAAGAGAGGCTAACAGTACAATGGCAGAAAGGTGGGAACTGGTATTTCTTGGAAGGAGCAACTTGAGACAAACATATTGGGAATGGGGATGGAAAGGGATTGCTGAGGGGCAGTGAGGCCAGGCTGGAGTCAGGTGGCAGAAAGTGTTCAGGGAGCTGTCTACACTGCTGTCCACACTGTCTCGGCCTTGAGATTACTGCATGGTTGCAGTGGGCAGTGAACCCTCTGGAAGCAGAAAATGAACAAGGTCAATGGGCCAAGCTCAGCTTTTATTTGGAGGCTCTTGAAGACCTGCAAAGCTGAGTGAGGACAGCGGCGACCCCCAAATCCTTCTGGCAGACTAAGAAAGCCCCACTGGGAGGGCTGTGAGATCTACAGGGCATGGTTTCAGTACCCCAATTGGTTGACTATGAGGAACAGTCACTGGGCAGCTGGGTCCAACACAGGGCCAAGGAAGGGCATCCTGCCCAACCCCTGCTGTTCCTCTGCCCACTGGAGAGAGGAGACGGGAGAGGTGGGCCCAAGTGCTTCAGTGTGGCCCTGAGAAACCAGGGCCTGCCTATTGCCTGGCACCACTGGGGCACTTGAGGTAACACTGAGTCATAGTGATGGCGCTTGGGAGACTTCCTGAGGGGGTGCTGTCTTTGAGGGGCAGGGGCAACAGAGGCAGAAACCATGGTAGACAGTGAGGACTGATGCTGAAGGATACCCTGGGATACCTCAATTACACAAACCTGCAAAAAATGTTCTGCAGGAAGCAGGAGGGGCTTGGCTCTCAGTTCCATGACTCCTCTGACCCATGTGCTGGGGAGACCTGCTTTTACCCCTGCTTCTACCCTAAAGATCGGTTGATCTTTGCCTTCAGTCATAGCCGCTGAGTGGTGAGTGTGGGCATCTTCCTAGAACATTTTAGACTCTGCTGGACAGACAGGCCTGTTTCAGTGCATGGGATTCCTCAAGCATGCCATTATGTTGAAACATTTTGTACCTTGAGGATGAAGTATAAAAACTCTCTCAGCCATTTAAGGGAATAAACATGATATACTCCCTTGTGACTACATCTGATCCCAACTAGTGCTTCATCTGTGCGTTTACAGCACATGGAGAAGTGGTATCTCAACTAGCTTCTTGGCTACCTTTGGGAGATGTGGTTCCACCTGCAACCCCTGTCACCTGCACCTCACCTCGTGACCACCCCTGGAAGAGGAACAGGTCCCAGCCATCTTATTAGGGTTCCCCTGGACATGAGATTTAACTATAATCCAAATTCAGATGAAGCTCTGTAGAAGCTACTTCATTGCTGTGAGAGGGCAGCCTTAGCGTGGGATGAGAGGAGTCTTTGTTTTTGTGTAGCGTAAATTGGAAACAACCAGCAGTTAACCTACTTGCTGCAAATGCTGGAGGGTGGGGTGGGATGCAGTTAAAAGGGACTGGATGGAGCTCGGCAGGGTTTGGACAGTCAGGCAAACTGGAGCAAAGACTCCTCCTGCTGTGGTCCTGGATGGGAAGCTAAGCTATGGGGACTGACTCACCCATGCACCTCTGTGGTCCCCATATCGCAGTCCAGCCCCGAGGTCTTCCTGCTCTAGCACTCAAGATGATCAAATCTTTGTAAAAGGGAGGTGGGGAGTCTCTCTACTTCCACCACACACCTCAGGGGTGCTCAGCTGCCCAGTGGTTTCATCAGGCCTTTTTGGTTGTCTTTGAAGTGAAAGACATTTACTCTCCAGTGCAGCAGACATGCCACCTGCCTCAAGGTACCCAGCCCGTCCCAGCTGCTTTATATGGGTGTCACTTACATGTGAGGAGTTGGCACTTTATTTAGGTCTGTCACTCTCTCAATCAAAAGAGGATGGTGGGGCAGAGTTCAGATTCTCAGTGCAAGCCTCCCCCTGCCCTCCATTGCAGAATTACCTTAGTGGCCTTCCATCCCCTCTGTTTCCTAATCTATAAAATGATGGGATGGGCTGGGATCCAAAATGGCAAGCTTTTATGCTGTGATGTGAAACTGATTGCAGCTGGCCTACACAAATGTCTCACGCTGCGCCCCTCCTGCAGCATCTTTCCGATGTGCAGGACATCAGTAGCCTCTGAAAGAACCAAAGGCACTGGCTGGCTTTGCTGACATGGGTTTGCAGGTACTGAATGCTTCCTTGAAAAATGAAAATGGAGGCACTTTTCTCCTGGCTGTTTATTACAGAATGAAGAAAAAAACATTCTGGCTTAAAACAGATGCCAGATTTAAAACATAGAGGCAAAATACGAAGTGGCAATTAAAATGTGATTACAGAGAGTCTGTACACAGAAAAGTTAACAGGACAGTGGACCTGGGTTTTCTATAACAGAAACTGAAATATACACGATGATAATTGCCGATAGAAACCATCAAAAACAAACCAAAAATCAAGTATTAATGTTTACAGACTTTTCCCCCAAATCACAAAACCTTACATCAAAACAAGTACTGAAAGGCTTTAAACCAGGAACATCTCACCTTCACCCTGCAAGGGTGCCTCTGGAGAGGTGCAAAGCTGGGGTTCTCTTGTCTGAAAAATAAAGGGAGGACCCTCTAGATCCCCAAGGTTGATAGCTCAGAGAGTGTTCAGCTCACATACTCTCTCTTCATCTCTCTGAAGTCTACAGAACTCTCTCAGCCTCCTTGCAAATTTCCTCTGTGGGGCACTTACAATAAAAGCAGCTTCTGCTGTAATGTGCTTATTAGGAAAGAGCTAGTGGAGACTGAAAGGTTTGCAAAGGAGATTAAGAATTACACAAGGTGATCAAATTTTCAGTGAAAATGGAAATAAATGGCCAAGTGGTTTTCTCTGTGGCATTTGTAAGCCTGTACAACACCTCTTGGTTACATCCACATCTCCTGTTGCATCAAACGATAAGCAACTTAGCCACCTGGCTTATAAGATATCATTGGAGCAAATAACAGTCTGCATATTTGCAACAATGTATAATAAACAGAAACAATGCATAATAAACAGAACTGTATCCAAACAAAAACCTTCACTTTATTTACAAAGTCACAAAACGAAGTATAAATACTTCTGTCATTAATGCTTAGGAAAACCATTTACAAAATTTTCAAATATGTACAGGTATTTTGAAAACTCACAAGCGTTCCATTTTGTTAAAGGTAGAGAGGGGGATGGGCATGGGCTGAACACTTCTGTGGCTGTCTGGGGCCGGTTGTGAATTTGCTATGGATTCATACCACTCCCTAAAGTGATATCAGTATTGGGAGTGCTATTCTGGCTATTCTGGGTGACTAGGCCAGCATTCTGGGCTGCGGCATTTTGGGCATCAGCATGCTGCTCTTCCAAAATGTCGTCGATCAGCCTCAGGTTGCACAACCAGTCTTCATCTGGGCTCGTGCTGGGGCTTTCCAGGAGAGCTTCAATGAAATCCACCTCACTGCAGTCAGGAGGTGAAATCGTATCGTTTAGTAGAGGCTGGGCCTGGGGCAAAAAGTCATAAGGTGGCAGCTCAGAAGGGGGACCCATTCTGTTGAATGGCCCTGGGGACAAGCTTGCAGCGATGGCAGAGGCGGCAGAGTCAGTGGCAGCAGCAGCCACATAGCTTGGCGGTGGCTCGATGCCCTGGATGGGACTCATGGGACCAAAGCTGGCTTTGCCCTGCTGGAGGGACTTGGCGGTGTTCAGCACAGGCACGGGACCCAGCACTGGGCTCTGTCTTAGGCAGAAGTTGGGGTTGGTTAAGACGGCATTCACCATCTGGCTAGGCCTGCTTCCTGGGGTCCCCTGACTGGGAGGCCCAGCTGCCTGCTGTGGTGGGCAGGCCGGGGCTACCAGGGAGACTCCCGTGGGCACCTTGGTGAAGACTGAGTTCCTATCATATTGCTGCTGGATGCTATTATCCACTTGGCTTGGGGTTGGCTCCCTCGATACCACTGGGGTTGACATTGCCACTGCTGCCCATGTGGTATTGTTGAACATGGTGGACATTCTTGGCACACAGGGCTGTCTGAGCTGGTGGGGACTCAGGGGCTGGCTGAACCTGGGCAGGAGCACTCCTAAGGGGGATGCCTTGGGCATCTGTGTATGCTGGCAGACAGAGCCAAGGCTGCCCAGGGGGTTCTGGCCTGCGTGTGAAGGTATGGGAAACAGGGGGCTGGAGTTGAAAATTCCTTGCTTTTTGCCCAGGGTTGGTGAGATCGTGCCCTCATGGCTCTGGTGCCTGCTGGGTGGGATCATTCCTGGACTCAGATTGTTCTGAAGGAACCCAGCTCTGGGTGGCATCATGTGCTGGCTGTATGGGGGGCTTGCCTTGGTCTGGCTACACTTGGAGGTGACTTGTTCTTGGACGACTACTGAAAGAGAGAAGCGGGGTCAGTTCCAAAGGTGTTCTCAATTTGGGCTGCAGCTGCTGGTGGGGTGATGGGGAACTACTAGCCCAGCACTGACCTCTCTCTCACCTTCCACCTGTGGCTCCTACTGAGCATCCCCTCTTCCCCAGCTTTTCGCAAATCCCCTTGTTCCTCCACCCTCAGTTTGGACTGCAGTTCTTCTAGGGAGCTCTCCTAGACTTCTGGGTCTGCGCTCACACACTTCCTCTGCCCCCTACCAAGCATAGATAACATTGGATGAAAAACACCAGCTTATCCGTCTGTTTTTTCAAGTAGATTGTAAGCTCCATGAGGCCAAGATCTTGGTCTGCTTTTATATACTCAGCACTCATACCTGGCACTGTCCACCCCTTGACAGATAGAATTGCCTTCCTGGAACTTGTCTTCCCTGTCCCTACAGCTAAAGTGTGACTGACCTGAGCAGGTAGGATATTTAGCTGATGGTAAGCCCATAGGAACAGGGGTTTTTGCACAAGAATAGAGGAGCAATGGCGTGATGGTTGCATTCCTAAAATGAAGATGCTGACCATCTGTTGGGAGGGCAAGCGGCCTTTCTGAGCCCCAGGTAAGAGTATCCTTGGCCTTGTACAACATCACTACTGGCTGGTAAGGATAGCTTACCATGTCTCCTAGTCTGCCGGCTTTGAGAAGTAGGGACCAATGCCTGGTTTTTTGGGGGTTTGTTTGTGTTGTTGTTTTTTTTTTTTTTTGGCAAACAGCTATATTCCTGACCAATAAATGTGGATTACATTCATAGCTGTCATGGTACAGTGGGGACCCCTGCTATCTGTGGAGGCTCTGGGAGCCCCCCACCACAAACTCTTCAAGGCAGAACTTCAATCTTTTTTCTATTCCCCACACTTGAGAGATGGCCCAGGATACCATTAGAATAGAAGGTCACTGGGGTAAGGGCAAGGAGGGCAGGATCAGTACCCTGGGGTTGTGGCAGTCCTCAATTGATTCGGATAAAACCCTAGGGGGTGTGCCTTTCTCCCATTGAGAATAACTGCTTTAAGTTGCCTAACTTAGTTTAATCAACCTGTTGAATTAAACAGTGATGTCAGAGTCATTAAGACATGGCCTTCCTTTGGGATCTTACTTAAGTTTCCAGTGTGAGAAATCCAACCAGGGTGCTACTGAACTAACTTATAGACCTCCCCTCTTTCCCCTCAATCCTTTCAGAAACACCCATAGTAATTGCTTACTCTGGGGTGAATTCTCACCCCACCCTCACATATACACCCCCTGGCTTATTCCTTTAGGGACATTGATCTTAACTGCTTACCTTGAAATTGATTCATCTGTTGGGTGACATATGCACTTCGCTGTTCAGGGGTCATTGCCATAAGAACTGATCTCTGTTTCTCTTGCTAAACAGAAGATGAAAAATGTGTGTTAGAATAAGGCTACCAAGAAATATTTGCCTTGAATCACTGTGTGGGGACTCACGACTTGGCTTTGGTGTAGCAGAAAGCATGAGTGAACACACCAACACACACTTGCATGCGTGCCCCACCCTCCCAAGCAAAACTCCACAGGTATAAATAAAAGTAAGATTCTGCAACTTGGGTTAAAAAAAAACAACAGCTGAGACAGCATAGGTTGTGGCGGCAGATACAGAGCTTAATAGCAAGTATGCATAGGAAAACATTTGGGCATTTTGGATGTCCTTCTGCCCAGGATGGGTCAGCAGTGAGATGTGGTTACCAAAAGAGCAAATGTAACATTAGGCTGCATTAATAGAAGCAGAGTATGTAGAATGAGGGAGGTGACAGTCCTACACTACTTTGTTTTGGCCAGACCATGTCTATAGGTGCAGACAAGAGCCTGGGCATGCCAGTTATCAGGGAGACCCAGATAAACTGGCTGCATTCAGAGGACACTAAGTGACTGGGGCAGGAGTTGGACTCCAAACCACACAGACAAGGAATGGCTAAGCAAACCAGAGATGCTGGGGCTGAGGCAGAGCCAACTCTGGGCTATGTGGTAGTGGATACCCAGCTTCTGCAGGGTTGTCATGGGGAAAAGGCCGAGGATTGTTCTGGGTGGTCCCGGCATGAATAGCGGGATGATCACATCATCAGATGGATGCACTGTCTGACACCAGGAAAAGTCACTCACTGCCAACTTCCCTTTGTTCTCCTGACTGGCTGCTGTATGTGCAATTGGGATGAGCTTCCCGTCTCCATTTCCAAGCTGGATGGGCTCGGGGAGGAGCCAAGTTTCAGGGCTGCAGGCCCAGCACTGAGTGTGGGAGTGGCTCAAGGGACCAGCTTGCAGAGAATCAGATGCACGTGAAAGGCATGACTTGCCCCTTGCACAGAGGCCCTCAGCCATTCGGATCCAAGTCTGACTCCCAATCCAGTGTTTACCCACTGCCATCTCTCTCCCTTTCTCAAGAAGCTTGCTCACAAGTGTGCTAACAACCAAGGCAACTCCACCAGGGAACAATCCCCAAGTCCACCTTGTGAGCTGTGCCCCCCTAGATGCCAGAAGACTTGATTCTACAACATGGGTTGGCCTGCTTTTTTGCACTTAGAGGGCTGATGTGGGGGTGTGGTACAGGGGCAGGCAGAGGGCAGGTATTTGGGAGAATGTCCAGCTCACAGGCCTGGCAGCAGCTCTTGGCCACAGTTCCTGCCAAAGCAGAGAGGACAAACACATGGCACCACGCAGACTACATTAGAACTGATTTCACCATCCTGGCCTTAGCCTGCTTCCTGTCCGAGCTCTTGCCTGCACCTTCTGGGGCTGCTGGGATGTGTGGAGGTGCTTTTTCTCAGCCAGCCCACGGAGCTGCCCTTCTTCTTGTTAAAGCACAGGGGTGACAAAACTGCCTTCATGCATGCTCACTGTACTGAGCACTTTGTACCCATTATTTCACATTGTGTTGCAACAATCCTTTGAAGGATTGTTGTTATCCCAGTGATACTCACTTGGTCACTGAGGAGCACAGAGGCCGTATGACCTCCCAAGGCCGCACCATCAGGAAGGTGGGGAGCACTAGGATCTGCCTGAGATGCTCAGGATGGGCAGGCATTTCTGAGGCAGCCCTTCACTTGTGTTCTTTCCTTCTGCCCTTACATCAGCTTTAGGAGATCTGGGCAGAATATCTACAGATCCCTCATCACTTCTTGGCCTTTTGGCTAGGATCAAGTGTAGAATATCTACAGACCCCAGCTTACTGACATGACATCTGAGGCTCAGACAGACATGCCCAAAGTGCCATGTATTTTAACTGCATACCCAGTGTTTCTGCCTGCTCAGTCCACTGCTTCTGGGGATTTGCTCTTGTGGCCAGCTAGGTCTACATAGACCCCAACTCCTTCCACACTGGCTGCCCCATTAGTTTCATCAAATAACACGGTTGCATAGGAGTGGGGTAGGGGGACTAGGTGAAGACTACAGAATATGACCAAGGAAGAAGGAGGGGAAAGGCAGAAGAACCCAGAAGGGAAGAATCAGAGAGGAAAGACACTCGAAGGGCATGGGAGACCAAAGTCAGAGGGTTGAGGAACTCGGTAGTGTTTGTCAGGTAAAAGAGAGTGCTCCTCAACAGTCCAGGGTTACAGGAAGAAGGGGGGTGTTGGTTAGTGTTCACCCAAGGAAGTATAAAACCCAGAACATCCAGAGTTGAAGGGAAAACCTGGATTGTGGCATGGATTCACAAACTTCAAGCCCAAAGGGCACACCCTGACATCCAGCCTGTGGGTTGGGCCTTCTAGCATCCTGGAAGGTTCTGGGGCACTGCTGCCAAGAGGGTTCTCTTCATACTGCTGAGGTGGTCCAGGGCACTCCTAGTCCTGTGCTCTGGGCCTGGTTCTGCTGTCCCCGGCCCAGGAGCCAGAGCATTCTCTTCAGGCCTCCGTAGGAGGATGTTTCCTTTGTTTTGCAGATGGAGGCCCCAATTCTTTGTTCTGAATCAGTGAGCTCCAAATATAAGTCCCAAGAAAACAGTTGTTGCCTTTTGACTCTGACAATTAGAATCTTTGGAAAATGGGGTAAGAACAGGAAATGACAAATGTTTTCAGTGACCAGGAGGAAATGGTAGCTGAAAATTGCTGCTTAGGGATGGAGACTTGTAAAGGATGTTCCAGGCACCCTGTGGATTTTCATAAGCATGCTTATGGAAGAGGTCATCAAATGACTCATTTTTTGAAGGCTGTGACTGTCATGGTCCTTGGCCTTATTGTGCCAGGTGACATTGGCAGAGCAGTGTTTGTGGGTCCTTTTCAAGCCTGGGTGTGCTTACCCCATGCTGGTCACCATGAATGAGCCTGGGTTGGTACCAGTAGGCAGTCTTCCAGAGAACTAAGGTCCCTGGATCTTCCATCACAGCTCCTCCTAGACCCAGCTCCTCCCAGTCCCACTGGGCCAAGGGACCACATGCACAGACAGTCTCAGCCAGAATGGCGACCTGGAAAGTCATAGAGTTGTTTTTCTGGAAGTTTCTTGCTGATGCTCAGGAAGCTGCCAAGTCCCGGTCCATGTGTGGGGGCTTGAGCAGGGCTAGTGCTTCATCTGTGTGCTAGTCAGGAGAAAGATGCAAAAGACTGGCCCAAACCTCACTGCTATCCCTTGGCACAGTTGAGCTTAACACAGTCCCCTCCCCAGCAGTCCCAGTCAGGTGCTGTGTTAGCTTTGCTTTTCAGCCATCACAGGTGAATTGCTCCTGAAAGCCCCATGGTATCATCTGGGTGCTTCCTCTCACCACTGCAGGGGAAGAAGAGTCTCAGGACTGATTCAACCTCTTAATCCAGTAAAGGGGAATGGATGGAGCAGATGATTAGCAGGACTCACACACAAAGGGTTCCTGGATTTTCAGCAGGGCCCTACAGTTCCCAGGAGGAGAACATTCTCACTGGGAAGGGGATTCCAATGGAATAGCTTCTGGGGGATACCAAGGAATGGATGCAAAGCCTTATTGTACAGCACACATTGATGTAGGAGAGACTGCAGGAAGAAATGAAAAATGGGGGTAGGGAGGGAAGAAGAAAGGGAGGCAACAGGGAGGGAAATAAAAGGGAAGAGTGAAGGACAGAGGAAGGGAGTGGGAAGAGAGAGAATAAGGAGGAAAAGTAGAATGAGGAGCAAGAGGAAAAGGGGGAGGAAGGAGGGGAAAAAAAGGAAAAAGGAGATTTTTTTTTCTACCTCTAGGAAACCCCAGCCTCCTCTCCCAGCAAATGCAGCCCATGACTGCTTCCACACTGAACTATCTTGTGCTGCAGCAGAAAGCACTCAGCTATGTCCAAAGGTTAACAAGCCCTACCGTCTGGGTTTATTACTCCACTAGGAAAACCTTTTTGAGTTTTTGGAAATCAGGTTTGGAAACCTCACCCATTACTCTGACTTCAGTATTCTGCATGAAGATTATGAAATAAAGACATGAATTCTAGGGGCTTCCAGATCTATTTGGATGAGGGCACTACACACTTGCATAGCCCATGGATGAAGGCAACATAGACACTTCCCTATTTCAGGGGGTGTGGACGTTCTTAGAAGAAAATTCTCCTCCAGAAACTACAGAGGCTTATTATAGTGAATGGCAGGTGAATTTCATTTCCTAGTACCTCCTGACTCCCAGACCCTGTGGCTCAGTTTCTCCAGAATGACTCCAGAGGAGACTGAACCATTGGGAATGATGGGTGTGCTATCAGACCCCTTCTTCCTGTGAAGCTGAGGCCAAGATCTTGAGGGGGAGGGAGGTCTGTCAAATATCTGCCCTTTTGTGTTGCCTTTGATCAATGATTTTGCTTGTCCAAATGCAGCCTGCAAGGTGTGGGCTTCATTGACTCTGGTCCCCCAGAACAAACCTGCCCAAATATGGAATAGGAAGACAGGGTTTTCTTGGCAGCCCAGTGTGTCCCTCTGTCAGTTAGCTGACAAATATTTCTCGTGAGTTTACTTTGGGCCAGGCTCTTTCCCAGACATGGGGACAGCACTGTGCTTCTCTGCTTTTATGGAGTTTACAATGCAGGGGAGACTGACAAGACACATTAAGTCAATCAAACATAATTTCAGATGGTTACACATCTTCTAAAGAAAAGATAATGTGTGAAGGGAATAGGAGTGGGTGGGGGTATGAGAGCACAGCAGAAACCTGTGGTCCGGGCCTGGGGCCCTGAAGGTAAATCAGAACCTGCCACAAGGTTCTCTAAGCTAGGCAAGGCTGGTGTAGCACTGGTGTGTTGGGGTCTTCCTTTGCCCTCTCTGGGCCCCTTGCACAGGAGCCAGGGACCTTCCTTATGGTGATGGCGCTGTCCTGGGGTCTGATTATTATTAAATAATAATTAGATTATTAGTTCTTAAATAATAATTTAATGTGGCTTTATTAAAATCCATGGCATCAAAAGCAAACAGCTAAGAGCTT